AAACGCTGTTATTTGATGAGAAACGTGCAGAGATGATAAGATTTTGGAAAAAAATGTTTTGCTATTGTTGACATGACACACCAAACTAAGAATTTACCGAAACATTCCCAAAAGAAATTCTAAAAAAAAATGTTTCAAAATGCTCTTTTTAATGAGAAACATGCAGAAAAACTTTTTTTTTTTAAAAATTCATGATAATTCTTCACCCTGTGACCACGTGACACCCAAAATTGGGATTTTATCGAAAAATTAAATTTTTTTTTTTTTTTATAATTTTATGATTTAACAACAACTGCCAAGTGTGTGTGTGTGTGTGTGTTTTCATCACTTAGATACCTGCTGTCCTTATCAGAGCCTGGCTCTTGTTTCATCCTCTCCTCCATCTCTTGCTGTTGCTTCCTCAGCTCCAACAGTTCCAACTGCAACAGTTTCATAATAACAATAATGATGACAACAACAATAGACATTTAGTCTCTACCATTTTAATCATTGGTGCTAAGAACAAGTTCTACTAATAATAATTTTTACTAGCTAACATTATTCGTCTTTAGAGTTTGTGGCTTATTTTTCTTAGCTCTAGTTTGAAATATTTTTTTTTTTTTGCTGTGAACAAGAAGCAGTTTTTACTCCATACCGTAGTGAGACGCTCCAGTGCAGAGAAACGCTCCTCCCAGGTGGCAGTGGACTTCTCGAAAGCTTCGTGTCTCTTGAGGAGCTTTTCCACTTCGTCCACTGTGTGGCCCAGGTCTCTGCTGCTCACATACGGTTCCTGAGCAACGAGCCAAGCTTCCGCCACAGAGGCATCGCGGGCAAATTGACACACCTCCAGCACTGCAGATACAACGATTTCAGAGAGGTCAGCAGAGATATTAAAGCTCTCTTTCCTGACCAGACTTTTGGTTCACTCCACAGATCTTGTACGACTCATCAGTCGGAGCTAGGACTGGGCGATTATATGGTTGTAATTAGTGATCGCAATACATTTTAGGTCAGTTATAGTGATTAGTTGTATCTTTGAATATATATATATATATATATATATACACATCTATACATAGAGTATATACTGTATATACTGTATGTTAACATGTTGGGTTCACTGTTGTACTGACCATTAAGAGTATTCAGTGCTGCTAATTTTTACTTATTTTTAATATATTGTATTGTGTTATGTTTTAATTTGAACCAACTAATCTGTATTCTTAAAGTATTAAAGTGTTATTAAAGATGATGCACATTTTCAAGTAGCAACGATGTTAACAGCGTATGCAGCATCATAACTTGAAAATGATTATGTTTACATTTTAAGGCATCTTCATTACTCCAGAGGGTTACATAGCCGCAAAAACACTCATCTAGTCAACTAGTTCACTGTGTTACTTTATATCTACTTTATATTTTTCTACTTCTTATACTGTTTACATTTTTCAATGTTCATTCTATTCAATTTGTTTTGTTATGTACTTCATATTTTATTATTAAGTCAAACTAATCTGTAGTTTCAGTGGACATGTTTTAAACCTGATAGGTTAAAACAATATGATATGATAATACTCGAATCTGGATGATGTGAAAAAATATATATTGTGTCTATATCAACACAGTGAACTTTCCCGTATTTCCTGAGTCTGAGTGTTTTTGTACTCACGGAGTCTGAGCCAGTCCCATCTGTTGTCCCACTTGAACATCATCTCCTTCCTCTTCTCCATCAGCTGCACCAGCTTCTCTTTGATCTGAGTAACACATCAGCATTATTAATGGACTCCGTGAAAACAGGAACTGGCCTGTTGTCCTCTCAGCACGAGTGCAGAGAAATGATTAACCCAGTGTTAAGACAGGGCTGAGGTCAATGGCTCATTTAAATTCTTTTGCCTCTTCCATTTCTAATTAGTAGCTTCTCTATAGTCTCCCTGATGAGTGCAAGATGAGTGCAGCTTTTTTCTCTCTTATTTTCTTTTGTGCTAATCCAATTGGTTTCATTGTGTGAGACCAGAACAATCGCTCCCAGAAAAGTAATTAAATCTAATGAAAGCAGTGAATTTAAAGCGCCGCCTGAGAATGAATAGAACACCATCTCTGCTGCTGCAACTGCTGCTGCTGCTGAAAACTCACCTCCACAGAGTCCCGGTGCTTCCGTGTCAGCAGGTCTTTGCCCAGGTCCGTGCAGTCGGTGAATTTGGCTCCTCTGGCCTCGATCTCTGAGCGAATTCCCTGGTGGTATTTCTGCAGTAGCTCCACGGAGGAGACGTCCCTAACGTTCAGTGGAGATGATGATTGATGTGATGTGTGTAAGAACTCAACCTCAGCCTACTGTGATTCTGTGATAATGCGAATGTATAGCATGTTCATTTAAAGCCAGATTTTAATGCCTAACGCAGACACTGCCCTAAGTTGTTTTTTTATGTATTACAAGCTGCTAAAAGTTAGCAAAGGATAAAGCTAAAGGTCATGCTTCACATTGATGGTTCACAGAGTTAGCACAGACCTATAACAAATAAGCTATAAATTATCTAAATATATATGTTATATGCTACTAAATAAAAGTAACATCACCTTGAATATAATAATAAACAAACTAAAATATAAATTAAAATATCTAAATCACACTTCAACAATAGCTAATGGTTAGCCAAAATAGAAGAAAATATAGGAAACAAATGCTACAGAACATCTAACAGACACAGCATGAATCAACATAATAAGTCAAGTAAAAATTGGGTCATCAAATAGCTTGAAGTTATCCCAGAAATAGCTTAAAATAAAGATAAACAATGTAGAACAACACATCAAAATGAAGTATAAAGAAACAATTATTCAAAAATAATAACAAAAAATGTAAATGAAATAAGTTTAAGCAAGAGAAATTTCAGAATTGTGTATTTTTTTTATTCATTTGAAAAAATCTGATTTCTTGCCCAGAGATATATGAAACTTAATTGTTACAAATATCCATAAATGTCTGTATTTTTTAAACTAATTCAGAAAAATCTACTACGTATATTCGTATCTTCTGTATTGTCAGACAAATGTCACACAGAAGATCTTTCAACACTGACCTGGGCTTCTCCTGAGTCTCTATCTGCTGGATGATGCTCTCCATCCAGGCCATCAGGTCCCGGACCATGGTGAAAAAGCGGAACTTCTCAGCAGTTTCCACCAGTCGAGCCCTGCGACCCTCACTGGCTTCCAACAGACCTTTCCAGGCCTGAAGAACTTCCTGCTCTGCGGCCTTAATGGCATCCACCCTCTCACCTGCATACTGGGCTCGGAGCCTGGACGCTGTTTCCTGGAACTGCGGAACCTAAAGGGAGAAGAAACAACAGATTTGATAAAGCCATTACAGTATAAGATAATGACACAGAAGTGAAGGGGATCGATTAAATATTATGGAGACATGTTCAGTTTAGACAAGGTCTTTAACCCTCCTATCGTGTTCACCCCAAACCCCTGACTTTAGTGTTCCAGGGCAAATTTAAAATGTAAAAAAGAAAGGCAAAACCAGAGACAAAACTCCTCCACAAGGAAATTATTGGTACACTCATTTGCCTTAAAATACTTAGCTATGCCCATTTCTGTTGTTAAAATTCAGAAAAAATATACTTTTTTGGTACGCCAACTTTTGATCACAGTAAATACTATACCAATAATTTCCTGAACAAATCTCCGAAAATAAAGTTTCTCAAAAATGACTAAAAATACACTCATTTGTCTTGACCCTCCTGTCGTGTTCACCCCACATCCCTTACTTTAGTGTTCCTGGTCAGAATGTCTGTGTTTGTGTGTGTGCGTGTGTGTATAGTTGCCGGGAACATAGGCCTGCCAGACTCTGCATCCCATAGATTTTCTGTAGCCTCATTGTTTGAGCAATATACTCCCGCTAGAATCAACGGACCTACGTAGGCTTGAATGTCTACCAGGTCTACTTCTCTGCAGGTGTCCCCAAACACATGCTTCCCCTCCAGGTTTGTCATCTCCAGTTTAATTCCCTCAGTGGACTCTGGTAAAAAGAGTTGGAAGATGGACTTGTCATCCACACGAGACGTTGCACACCCTGTTGGCCCTGGTGTCATCTTTATGACGTTTTCCACTCTCGCTCTACTTCTTCTGTCCTCTCCATCTGTCGGCTGGTCAGTCTCCTCAAACGTCTGAATCAAAACCAGTGTTGTCTTCCACTTCTGAGACATCCTCCTCTATCTCTGGTTCAACTTCAGCTCCCTCTACATCTTCTTCCAAAATCATGTCCAGAGGCTGTGGTGTGTGTGTGTCTGTGTTGGGGTGGTGTGCATGGGGATGTTTTCTCATCCGATGGATGAATTTACCTGTATACCCATTCATTTCCTATGGTGGTGACTTTTGACCAGGAACACCACAGATGTTACAAGGTTGAATAAAACAATTTAATGTAAGCGGTGATCATAACTTTTATATGTTCATGTTCATGAGGCAATCAGATGTAATAAAAAGCGAAGAGTGTTTTAAGTTGTCAATTGGTCAGATTTGACCCGAACATGACAGGAAGGTTAACTAGTTCGAGGTCAAGGCCAAAGACGATGGCGAGATAGAACAGTGACACTGGTGAAGTCATTGGAGAACTATATACACTGAGGACACCATTGATGGTCAGGCCTACATTACAATATCAGAGAGTAATGTATTATACTCTGATAAATGATAGAAATAAAATGTTTGGTTGCCCTCCCTGCAGTCCAGATTTCAGACCTAAAATGCCTGGCTAAAAAAACTGATTTAACCCTCAGACACCAAACACCAAATTTTAGCCTTTAGTTTGTTGCATTTTTATAGTATGTTCTAACTTTTGCATGAGGTTTTTTCTCCATCTGTTACTGAAGTATGCAACACTCTAAATATATGCCTTTCATTATAGTAAAAATAAAAAAAACCTGGTTGACTCTCTACCTGTTTTCCAAGTGCACTGATGTCTCTCTCAAAGGCTGCATGCATTCTGTGGAAAGACTCGGCTTTGCTGAAGTCCTCGCCCAAGTCATCAGGAAGTTCCTTCTGCTTCTCCTGGATCTGAACCACCAGCTCCTTACCATCGTCAAAGTACCTTAGAAGAGGCAGAAAGAAATACATTTTTAACTCTTTTAGTTCAGTGTGTGTGTGTGTGTTTTGGTGTGCTGGTGTGTGTGTGTGTGTGTCTGTGTGTTATCATCACGTTTTATCACCAGACTCCCCATGATTGATGAAGCCGTTAAAGTGAATTTAAAATCTTTGTGTCGCTGCTGTCTGAGCCAGATGTTTTAAAAGCTGATGTCATTCATCACACGCTCCAAACACTTTAAACACCCACATCAATCTGAGAGATTGTGTTAAAACACAGGATTACATAAAAAAAAAAAAAAAATCTGACAATGTCAGTCCAGGTATCTGCACGGGTCAGACTTTCTTACTTTAACAGTTCATAAGACGTCATGAGGTGCTGAGCACGGGTGTCGATCAGTTCCAGCAGATCGGCCCAGCTGTCGTTAATGCTGTCCTTCCACTCGGCCATGGTGGCAGCCTCAGTGTGACCGCCTTCGATCAGGTCGTCAATGGTCTGGTTCACCATGTCCACCCGCTCCTGTCCCATCATCCCCGTCTCTCGAGCAAACTCTCTGAACTTGTCCCTCAGGAGCTAAAAAAAAAAAAAAAACATGTTCACATTCATGTAGAATTCACATTTTGTGTAGAATCAATCTTTCTATAACTGCAGCCAAAATAAAAAGATAAAAAAACAGTATGAGCCAAACTGCACCTCCAGTCATTCTGTCAAACAAAGGTGTGTTAGCATGTGAATACACTGAAATACACACAAAACTTCTTTTAAATTTTTAGGATGACAGCAATGATTACAGAACATACATTTTTTATATATGCAACTAGAATAATAAGGTATATATATAAAAATACAACCAAAAAAATAGACCAATCAGAATTTTGGTCCACCCAGAAAGTATCGACCCATAATAATCCACTGGGAGATTACAGCACTAAAAAATAATGACAATATTATTGGGTAACTGTATTAATCATTGGTTTCTGCCTGACTTCTTAGATGAGCTCCGTCTCCAAAGTGATGTTACGCCACAGGCCAACGTTCTCTTCAGGGACATGTATAAGAAGCTAAATTAGTCAAAGTAAACCTAATTAAAAGTGAATGTAATCACCTGTCAGTCATGTCATATTAGGTCTAATGACCAGCGACCTTTTCAACTCTGAATCCAGTGGTTTGTATGGTTTTTGTGCGTTCATTACCATCACTTGGTCCAGGTCCTGTCCCATCTCCTGGGAGGACGCCACCACGTCCCTCTCTGCGATCCAGTGCTCCAGGTCCTCCACCTCTCTGCTCAGGAGGAAGTGTTGGTAGGTGTGGTCCAGCTTCTTCCTGCGGTCCTCGGCCAGTTCCTTCAGACCAGCATACTGTTTGTCCACCTGTCCCTGTCTCCTGATGATGCTCTCCCTGTTCACAAGGTCAAGGAAGAGCAGCAGAGGTCAATGAGATGAAGAGGAGAGGAAAGAAATGAGAAAAACAAAGCAAAGTAATTGGATTGAGGTTTACTCAAGATGAGTTTTGTGATTTGGAAGCAGGGATTATCACACTTTAGCTGTTTGCTCCTCTTATCAAGCTTTACCACGTCCAACTGGGACAACAGAAGAGGAAATGACATTTTTGTCACATCAGGTTTAGATGTAATTTTTTCCCTCGGCACACACCCGTCAGGATGGTCCTCTGCAAACATCGTCTGAGCCCGGTCCGACAGGTTCTGGATGGACTCGGTGAAGTGGTCCACGGCCTGCTGGAGGATCATGTGGCGGTTCCGCATCAGCATGGCGCTCTGTTCATCCTGAAGAGGTGAAGAAGGATGAGGATCAGAGGAACAGAAGCAAAATATATCAAAACCCATTAGTTAAAGTTGATGCTGGAGGCAGAAACTCATTTGGACATGACACACGTCGGTTAATAAATGTAGGTGAAAGTTCAGCGGGAAAAGCTAATAGTTTACCGCTAATACAAAACAGAAGGAGAAATAGTCGAGAAAGTTAACAGTATTAGATAAAGGACAGCAAAAAATATGACTGATAAATAATCAACAATAATTAGAGTTAGTGTGAGAATTAGTGTAAAAGATACAAATACAATTTAAGTTAAGTTTGTACAAGTTACGGGAGTATGAATGAAAAAAAAAAGGTAAATTACATCATTTGTTTTGCCAAAAAAGAAAAGGCAGATGAAAATAATGTCATAAATTACTTGCTAGCCAACTAGCCTAATTCTCAAAAAGTGAAACATTTGCCAATAAGAAGTTTGGCAATTATTTTTTTAAACTGAACACATTGTGTGGAAAATAACATTTTGGCAATAACTGGTATGATTGAAAAAGTGGCAGAAAACATTTTGATTCACTGCCACTTTCTCTTCTCTCCGTGTTTGACCTCCTGACCTTGGCCTTTTCCTCAGTGATCATGTACAGCTCCTGCTCTCCTATCCAGGCCTCAGCTTCGTCGGCGTCGTTGTAGTACTGCTGGGCTAAATCTGATTGGTTCAGCCTCTGTCTGCGTTTCCCCATCTCATCCTGCAGCCGAGCCCACGCCTCCTGCAGCTCCGTCATCTGATCTGTAATCCGCTCTGTCTCCACTCGGCCCTCGGCGCTGGCGACTTCTGCCATCTTCTGACCTCGCTCCAGGACTTCATCCACACGGGGCTGGTGGCCCTCGATTTCCCTCTGTAATGTCTACGAGGACAGAAAACAATGACTCACGTCAACATTTATGGTACAGAATGACAGAAAAGTATGATTATATGTTTTTAAGTACTAACTGAAACTAGCTTTTGTTGATGTTTACACAAAACACTTGTTTTCTTAATTTTAAGTGACTAATAATTTGTTTTTTGTCATAATGTATAATGTTGGAAAAAAGCCTCCAAGATAAACAAGTATGTTTAGATATACTGTGTTATTATTACATTTGGTCTGTATAAAGCTATAGACTGTACAACTCAACTTCTGAGAGTAAGAGATTATTGGATTCCCTTTGTTTTCATTTTTTTTCTTTGTATTTTTGGTCTTCCAGGTATTTTATTTATCTATAAAACAAGATATACACCTGTGTATCAAAACCACAAGTCTATAAACAGCAGAAGGACTAGAGAAAGCTCTCGACCTGGTTCTTTTTCTGCAGCATCTGCACCGTCTGGAGATTGTGGCCGTGATCTTCTGACATGGCCAAGGGCATTCTCTCCTCTATCCACAGCTGAGGGGATGAACGATGAAGAGAGGGTCAAAAATCAAAGACATTATAAAAATAAAACAGGAGAACAAAAATGATACTTTAAGACATTTTTCCAGTTGATTTAAGTCGATGTATGCAGTGAAAACCGCATAAAAACTGTAGTAAATAATATTATTGTTTAGAGATTTTAAATATAACACTCCAGATGTTTATCATTATTTGTCAGAGCCGTGGAATTCTTACATTTCCATTTTTAATATTTTATTTTACTCCTAAATGCAACACATGCTCACCAGCTCATCAGCCAGGTCTCTGTAAAACTGATGAACAGCCTTTGCTGCCTCCAGTTTGCTTTTGCGTTGAGCCAGTGGAGTAAAAAGTTGCTGGAATTCATTCCGCTGGGTCAGAATCTCTGACTCCAGCTCCGGCTGGTCCTCCCTGCCTCCTCCGTGTTTGTCGACTGCCTCCTGGAGCTCCTCCAGCTCCTTCACACGGTCTCGCACCTGGTTCTCCATCACCTGGCAGCGACAGGATGTGATGAGAGAAACACAGATAAATAGACTGTCGGAAAATCTAATCAGGATCAAGAGATGAAGAATCACAGTGAAAGGTTGAAATTATCCAAAACACATGCTAAAAAAAGTTCAGATATTTTTGTTATTTAAAAAAAAAAATGTAGCTAAAATGTAGTCAAATTAGCAGAAGGAAACCTAAAAATAGTCAACCAATAGTTTGGAGTTAGAAGGTAAATCAAAAGATGTGAGTAAAAGTAGCACATTGGTTTGCTAAAAAGGCTAACAGCTTAAATTTAGGTAAAATATCACAAAACAATTTATTAACACACTACAAAAAATCTAAAGTTTAAAAATGTTCTATTTAAATGCCAGGCAAATTTGAAAATTTAAAACAATTTCAGTCATTTCTAACAATTTGTGAAAACTTGGCTGTTCTTGGTGTAGGATTGACAAAAAAAATCACCAAAACCCACTGACCTGCTGCTTCTTCAGGAGGATGTTGGCTTTGGTCAGATCCTTCACGTCCTCATCTCCACTCTGCAGCTGCTGCTGGAGGTCGCTGAGCCACTTCCTCATGTCACCGAGACTCTGGTCAAACAGCTCAGAGCGGTTGGCATCGAACAGCAGCCGAGCCTTCTCCTGTGTGGTGGATTCCAGTTTGTCCCACAGCTCGTGGAGTTTGGCCAGACGGTCTTTGACAATGGGCTCGAACTCAGGTTTGGCCTCCATCAGGTCGGAACCCTCCTGTGTAGGCACACACCAAGAACAGGACATTTTACATCAGTGGCAAAATACAAGAAATTAAATGTGGATATAAAATTGCTGACTGTGTAAATAGTCAAAAATGATCAAGGAACAAAATGCTAAAAGTAGGAAAAATAATAATTGAAATTTTGATTAAAGTTAGTTAAAAGGTAGAGCAATTTTTAAAATGGTTAAAATGAGTCAACAAGTCAATATTGTGCTAATGGCAGTTAAAAGTTAGCCAAAAACAGAGACCAAAATTTACCTTAAGTTAAATAAAGTAGGAATACCCGTGAGACAAAAATTTAAAAAAATATTAGTTATTTTAAAAAATAAATTTGCAAAATGATCAATATTGTGCCAGATACAGCTTAAAGTAATAATAATTCCCTCTAAAACACCAATACAAATTAGCACTGAAAGATAACATTGATTTATACAATAATGTAAAGCAACGAAAATTTCACCTTTTAAAAAAAAGCACAAAAGAAATGAATAAAAAAATGTTTTCAATAAATGACCAGTCTCTGTCTCCTGGAGAGTCGAGGATTTAAAGAAGCCGCTGGTCTCACTGTGCTGCAGCTGGTTCGTTTCAGCTGAGTGAGAATGTGTGAATAAGAGCAGAGCACTGACTGTTCCTAGAACCTGTGAGTTCCCTGCACTTCCTCTCATATTCCTGTGGACACAGAAGGGAATTCATTCCAACATGTGTCACAACACGTCTGTGGTGGTGATCCATCATCCAGGAGAGAGACGGTTCCTTAAGGTGTGTTAGTCTCTAAGACCGGACTCACACTGTGTTCGCGGACGCAGGAGAGGTTCTTTACTACTACAGCTGGGAAGATGACTTATCTTAACTGCATTCTTCACCAGGACAAAAATGGTGTCAAATATTTACAATCTGGTTTTTGTGTTGTATCAATCTCGATGTAGAGATGACTTTTTTTTTAACTACCACAAAAAGATGAGCTTGAAAACTCTTCACAGACCTGGTCCACTTTGTCGAGCCAGTCCTTGTTGGAGGCCAGCTCAGCCATGAAGGCCTGGTGTTTCAGCCACTTGCTGTGAAGATTTCTGGCCCCATCGTACGACGTGTCCTGAGCGGTCAGCATCTTCTCATGGATCCACACGGTCAACTGAACAGAAAGAGAATATTAGTGAAAACTAGGGGAGGGACTAGGAAAAAAACAAAACTAAATGATTACGAGGAGAAGAACATTTGAGGAGAATCTAAAAGTAAGGTTTCTAAATCTTTGTCTTTCAGATAAAAAATATATATATTTCATGTCCACTAAACTGTTTCAGTGCTTCATTCTCAAATTCAATTGTAGCATGAGCAAATTTGTGAGTCAGACAAACAAACCAGTCAAAGCCAAAACAAAAAAAGAAATAAAAATTTACAACTTTATAAAAATAAAAGTTAGAACAAATATAACTTGTGACTTAAACAGAAGGATTAAAATAAATATAAATCACTCTCTGGAATGTTGGTCACACGTAACCTACATTAGTCACAGAATAATAATTTAAAAAATCTCAATCTAATTAACAATTCTATCATGAACCGTAATAAAACAGTTTAGCCATAAGTAACAGATCCACCAAATACTGAGCCAGGGATTTGAACCAGGCTGAAGCTGAGAGTGGACTCACGTCCTGTGTGTTCTGCAGGAAGTGCTGCAGCTCCCTGTTGTCCCGCAGCTTCTCAGACACCTCCTGGGCTCGACTCTTGTTTTTGTCACGCCTGAAAGTCAAACACAGAGACAAAGCAGAGGATTTAAAAAAAATAAAGTTGTAAAACATAGAGACAAGTCCGTTGAGACCTGCTCCTCCTCCTCCTCCTCCTCCTGCTGCTGCTGCTCCTGCTGCACACAGAAATACCTGACACAGTAACCCTGAAAGAGTCATCTGTCTGTGGTTTACACCAGCAGGACTGGCTCTCACCTACAGATCAATATCCATTATCTCAGGGCTGTGTCTGCAGAGTAAATTGGAGGAGTTAAGGCGAGAAGTTTCTCTGTCCGTTTTACTGCCTCTGACTGACAGCGGAGGATGTTGTACTGAACTTCACATCACATGTTTATAACTCAGGGGTTTACCATTGAACATCTATTTCAGATCTATTGCAGTTCTAGTTCTACAGCAGACTTTAAGTTCACTTATAAAATCACTTAATGTAGTTGTTGTTCACGTTATCCATTAGACAAATACAAGTTGTTTCAGTTAAAGTATCTTCAAAACAGCATATAAGCAAACAGCAAATAAGCAAAAACTTGCACAAATTAATGCAAATCGAAACTAAATAATTTTCCAGAAACAGCTTAAACTAAAGGCAGGATAAATCACTCAGAGAATAAAACAACTAAAACATTAAGAAAGAAATATTTAACAACAAAGTTGGAAAAAAAAACTACTGGTTTAAAAAATACGTAAACATCTATATTTAAAAATCTAAATAAAAGTTGGAGTGAGGGTAACTGAAACTTTGCTAAAAGTGTTAAACATATTAGCAAAAATTAACGATAAAAAGGGCAAATGTAAAAAATAAAATAAAAAAACACTTTAGGCAAGAATTTGCTTAAAGTTAGCTGAATTGATAAAAAATATTCTAAATAAAATGTAAATGCACAAGGAAAGTTTATTTTGTAACCTGAACTGCAGGCTACAAATATTTTTAAGAAATCAATTCATTTTAAATCGTAACAAATACATTTTTTGTACCTGAATCGTGAGTTTCATACTTTTTGTATTTAAACTCAAGGTGTCAGATTTACAGTCATGAAAAAAAAAAACTGCCGCTCCAGCACAACAATCCAGACCTATAGACACTGACCTTTCCTGGATGGAGTCCATCTTGTCCTGGACTTTCACAGCGTACAGGTTGTTACTGTCCACCAGTCTGTGTCCCGACTGCAGAGCTCCGTCGATCTTGTCCTCGTTGGCCTCCATGGTGTTCACAAAGTCCTCGTGCTTCTTCAGGGCCTGCTCCGCCCCGGCCAAGGTGTCGGGCCTGTCGGTGTGGGCCAGTGTGTACTCCTGAAACAGAGCCGTCCAAAACATGTTGGTGAGAGCGGTGAAAAAAGGACTGAGACCAAACAAACCAAGAAGAGAACGTTAAATGACAAACATGCAGCAGAGAAGTGACTGTGCTGCATTCTTCTCTGCCACATTCTTCTGAATACCTGTAACACTGTTACAGCCATCATTATTTAGCTCTTCATACGACTGTGGTGACTAAAAAGTGTGTGCTAGAGACACACAGACATATTAGCCAAGATCTTGATAAGAAAAAATATTAGTAATTATTCTAATTATAAAGATTATTAGAAATAATCCCACAAAAGAAGAACAGATAACCTTTAAATAAGGTTAACAAAGGTAACGTACTTAGAGGTAGCAAATAATTGAATAAAAGAGAATGAAAAAAGAACCGATATAATAGTATAAATAAATTGAGTCATAAATAACAATAAATTCAAACCTGCATGTCTTCAGTTGGTGGACAGGAAAACTAAAATTTTGACCAGAAAGCCGAAGGGTTTTTGCAAAAACACTTGAAATGACTATTGATTAAAAATGAACAAAAATTTGTTAAAATGTATTCTTTGAAAATAGAAAAACTAAAGAAAAAAGACAGCTATGAGCTAGCCAGTTCAACAGAGCTTGAAATCAGTCCAAATGTGTCAGAAACAGCTAAAAGTTAGGTGTAGAAAATCAAAACTAACATTTAGGTGACAGAAGTTAAATATGACAATTTCTTTTAAAAAAAAGAGATGCTAGAGAAAGCATGGACCACAGAAAACCTGTCTTAGTACCACATTTGGAGCCAGGACCAGATTTTGGACAAACCATGCAGTACCGTACCTGGTTGTTAAGAATGGCCTCCACAGCTTTGGTGTCTCTCATAAACTGCTGGAATCCCAGACCCTGGTCCAGGAGGTTCTTGCGACTGTCCCACATGGTCTGCAGCTCGTACCATCCACGGTCCAGGCCTTTGAGCCTCTGCTCCAGCTGCTGGTACTGAGGATCTCCTTCCTGTCCCTGCATCACCTGAGCCCCCGTGTCCTTCACACAGAGATAGTCCTCGTCGTGGTTGTTGATGTCTTCACGCACTGCGTCGTGGAGACTGAGCTGACCCTCAGCCTCAGGCAGCGAGGCTGGCATCTCCTCTGACGCCACTGCCTTCTGGGTCTTGAACAGCCAGGACTGGAAGTCGTCCATGTCTTGGAGGAAGGTCTGTAACTTGCTGACTTCACCCAGAGAGTCTTCTCTGTCCTTCAGGGTCTTCTTTAGCGTGTCCCAGGCTTCGTCCAGCTCTCCTCTGCGGGCCAGGATGTCGTCAGCGTTCTCTGGGTGATCTTGAGCCAGATGGTCGGCTTCTTTCCTGAGGAAGGTCAGCTTAGCTTCGATGGCGGCTAAATCCCGCTCGATACCAAACAGCTTCCTCTGGATGGTCATGACAGCTGCCAGGTCATTGCCCAGGTCCTGCGTGGACTCGATCACCCGTGTCTTGTCTTTGATCCAGGCCTCGGTCTCGTCACACTCCAGACCGTAGTTGTGGAGGCTGACAGCAGAATCCACCTTCCTCTTTTTATCCTCCACCATGGCCTTGAAGGCCTCCCATCTGCAAAGGAAATCAAACCGTGTTTCTTTAAACAGATCTAATGCAGTACTTTTTGCCTCTAATTTGTTAAATTACTAGAAAAACTAAGACCATCTACATACAACAATCGCTCAGTTGTTTTTTTAATGCTTTCCTGCACATCTTTCATTCCCACCTTTTTAGCCTATCTGTTTGTCTGTCGACATCTTTCATTCCCACCTTTTTAGCCTTTTTAGCATCTGTTTGTCTGTCATATATATTTCCATACTCAACACCATTATATTTCACTTCTCTGAATCAGCCTTGGCACACGTGCTATTCACACAAACAAACTTGAGTCTCTAAGCTCAGATCATTTTCTGTCTATAAATAATTTGTATAGTTTTTCTTGAGAACACGGTTCAGTCTTTTTGGGAATATGTTTTTTTCATTTTCTGAACATTAAAAAAATGTAAAATATTCAAATTTGCACTTGCAGACATATATATAAATAATAAATATATCAGTCAGTAGTACTCCAAAAATAGTCAGACTTGCCACCTGAAAAATGTGAATTTATCATTAAAATAATGCGTCAGCAAAAAAAGACATTACATTGCAACAAATTGTTTTCCAATGGGGTTTCAGCAAAGAACAGAATAAAAACCTCGTCAAGGCATCAATTCAGCTGGGAAGTATTTAAAGAAACAGGAGAAGAAGACTGAAAACGAAGCTGCAGGCCACAAAATGTCAAAATCCTATTAACGTTATCGCAGGGTGCATGTTTTGTAAGTACTAAGTGATGCATCTGCCCTTTAAATATTTTTTACAGAAACCTTGTCTAAAAGGTTCTAAAAGTGAAAGAAACTAATGGGTAAAATATTAAATTTATAAAAAAAATTATTTTTTTTAATTTCATTTGGATAACCCTATGAGAAAGAGTTGAGCAGAATAAACAGATTATAAATGTCAGTGACATGTCAATGAGGCTCTGTCATATTTTGGGGCTGCATTCTAACTAACGTCACTGAGGACCTGGCCTACTTTAAAATACCATGTCTTCCTTAAAAATGTAAACTAATCATCTCGATGTGAGTCTATACACACGAGCCACTCAGCCGTCACTTCCTCCACACTGGGACTGTCAATGTTTTCTACTGTAAAAAATATTTCCAAGCCACATTTCTTGAGTTGTACAACAACTAATTCAACTTTGTCACAGTTTCTAAATGTCGCTGTAAAAAATATTTCCAAGCCACATTTGTTGAGTTGTACAACAACTAATTCGACTTTGTCACAGTTTCTGGCTAAAACATAAAAACCCTGTGATTGAGGACTTTCTTCACACTGCAGTATTTTTTTAATTCTCTTTAAATGTCAGACTCACCTCTTGTTCAGCCTGACCTGACAGTCCTTCACCTCCTTGGTGCGGGGGTGTCTGTTGTCCTCCAGCTGTTTCACAGCTTTGTTCACATCGTCAACTCTGGACTGCATGTTTGCCATATCTTGAGCCAAAATGCTCAACCTGTAAAACATAGGAACACGTAAGGTTTATTTTACCGTATTTTATTAAGTGGTATTTTTGACAACACTAGTCCTTTGATAATAAGTACGAGAATCGTGGCTAATAACATCAAAGAAAATTGGACCCACATGGACACAGCTCAACAAAACAACAAAGCCTTCAAAGATGTTGATCTAAGGCCCCACTGGAATCCCTTGGATTTTTTTTATCCTCCAGCCAAGATATGGCATTATTTGAAGTAGAAATAAAAAACCGAACCTACGAACCTACGACATTTTCTTGGTTCTGTCACAGCTTATGTTCACAGAAGTGCAGTCTGTGTCAGAGGGCATTTCCTTTGAGATTTATTTTCCCACCTGTTCTGAACAACCTCCAGATCCTCCAGCTTCTCTGGCACCTCCAGTCCCACCAACCAGGTCTCTTTCTGGCCCATCCAGAGCTCACAGGCATCAGTCTCACTGAAGATAATGTAGAGAGCCATGGTGTCATCGAGCTGCTTCTGCCTCACGTCAGCCAGCGACAGGAGCTCCATGTACAGGTCCTTGATGTCTTTGAGACGTCTCTGGATGTCCGGGGTGTTCTGAAGCTCCTCGGGCAGATTGTTGGCCTGTTTTGACAGAGCTTCAATGGTGGCTCCATTCTTGATGGCCTCGTTCCTCAAGTCGTTGTGTCTCTTGAGCAACCGCTGCGTGGTGTACTCGTCATGACCCACGTCGTCGCTGCTCATCTGCCTCTTGGCATCCAGTAACCAAGCCTTAAGTTCGTCAGCATCTCCCTGAAACTGGAAGAACCTCTGAGTGTCCTGCAGGTTCTGCTTCCGGAACGCAGCCAGCTCCTCCAGCTGCTCCCACTGCTGCCTGATGTCGTCCATGCATTCCTGAACCTTAGGAGAACCAAAGTGCTTGGCCTGGAGCATCTTCTCCCCCTCAGCGAGTACCTGTTCGAGGTTACCTCGACGGGCTCCCAGTTCATCCTCGAAGGCGCTGTGTTTGCTCTGCAGCACCAATACGCTTGTCAGGTCCCTGCCGTAATCCAAGGAGGAGAAAATGTGCTCCTTCTCACGGATCCAACTTTCCAGTTCTGCCAACTCCCACAGGAAGTTCCAGAAACGGCGTGACTGTTCCAAGCGTGCCCGTCGTTGGGCGGCCAGGGCACACAGCTCCTGGTAGCACAGTTCAAGGTGCTGGACTCTGTCCCGGATTACCTGTGGATCACAAGGCTTGTAGCCTGGGGGGAGAGATGGACAAAATAAGTTGAGCGGATGGAGCTGCATATGCAGCAGGTGATTCTACAGGAATTAAAAAGTGAACCTACTGTCTCCATTTGCAAACTTGAGAGCATCAGCGCTGGCATTGTGTACCCTCTCTGCCTGCAGGGCAATGTCATTCTCTAGCAAGGCATGTTTCTGTAACAAGTCCTCAACTTCCAACAGATGTTTCCCAAAGTCTGGAGACAGTAGTCTGGCCTGAGGACAAAATAAAACACTGTGATCAGCTCAGTCTCTAAAAAGTGTCAGGGATCAGTTTTGTGATTGTACTGCTTCACACTCTCTACCTTCATGTCATCCATCCAGCTGATGATGTACAGCATCTCCTGGAAGGTCCTCTGCAGGATCAGGTTCTTATCCAGACGCCCCCTGCGGGCCTCCAGCAGCTCCTGCAGGTAGTCCCACAGACGCAGGACGTTGTCTTTGCGTGCATCAATGCGCTTGGCGTCGTGGTATCGCTCGTCCTCCAGCTTCTTTGAGATGTCCACCAACGCCTGGACACGTTCCTCGTATGCTGCAATGTCCGTTTCAATGGCGTCATGTTTCTTCTTTGCTGCTTCCACAGCTGGGAGATCGTAACCAAAGTTATCCTGGAGATTGGAGAAAAGTTCAACCACTATTAAATATGTATGTTTGATGTATGTTGAATGGCAGTACATCCAAATATAAATCATCCATTCATGTTAAATCTACATTTACATATTTCCTCACTCTGACTTTGGTCAAAAGAAATGTTTTGAGGTTGATGAATACACTTTTTAATCACTGTTTTGCAAATGGTGGAATGGGACCCACACAGTGTACACAAAACGTTTTTTCTTGGATCCAAAAAGTGGGTTTGAACCCATAAATAGATTATTTTGCATTGGCATGTTTTTTCAGATCGTTTTACTTGAACGTTATCTTTAGTGATGTAGGAAAGGTTTTTGATCAACCAACTTTCAGTTAGAACATATCAGATGTTGAAGCTCGGTGGGTTAACCAGGTGGTCTTCCTCCAGGAAAGGTTTTTGATCAACCAACTTTCAACCAACAGTTTGACTCCATTTGCCCTAACAAAGTGGAGAGGCAGTGAACCCCAGGTTTCTTCTAATGCAGCAGCTGACTAGTGAAATATCAGGGCATCAAACACAACACCTGTGCCAGGCTACACCCAGTATACTGATCAGACACTATGGCATCTCTGGAAGAGGGCTGCAGCTAAAAGAGATTAACGGAAGAAAAGCAGGGCAGATTATAGGACAATTTATAAACTGGACATCGGGTCACAACAGTTTGTAACCTGAACACATGGTTTCTCCCAAATGAAGATTGGAAAAGGCTGATCTTTGCCCCCCATCTTTTAAGGCTTTTAGAGGAGCTGGATTCAATCCCAGCAGAAAATGATAAAATGCTGGACATTTGGCCAGTTTATCACAGCAGGACATTGGATTCAAAAGTTTGTGATCAATCAAACACCCATGTGCACGTCAGTAAACTGTAGAAATAAGAAATGTAGGTAAAAAATATGGAGTATTACAGGGTGGAAGAGGAGAACGTACGAAGTAAAAACAAAAACCCAGTTTGAACTGGGATTTTAATTCACTGATTTAATTCACTGTAATCTTTAATTAAAAGAAAAAAAACTTAAATCCCATCACTGATTTTTTTTGGTTATATATTCTTGCTCTACTGTGATTCAGTCTTACTGTTATTAAAAAAACTGTCATATCATATAAAACAGCCAGGTTTTTACCTGAGCCACCAGCCTCTGGTTCTCCAGGAGCCAGGTCTCCCTCATGGCCGCCTTCCTGTCGAACCTCCTGGCAATCTGCTCCAGCTTCTCCTGTCTTATCAGCTCGTGTCTGAGGACGCGCTCACGGTCGTGTTCTGCCCTCTCCAGACGCTCCCACGCCTGTTCACAGAGACATGTGAGAGACACATGTTTTAACATAAAATAGATGGAATGATCTGATGACACAACATTGTTTTTAACATTCAATTCACTGACTGAATATGTACAGAACCTTTTTTTTTTGTGTTTTGCATATTTTTTAATATTTATTAAAAATTACTTTTCAGGCATTTTATTTGTATTTTGTTTAGAGAATCAGCAGCAACAAACACTAAGGACCATAGACATTCTCAGCTTTTTGAAAAGGTCAACAAGTCTTTACAGCAAACAGGTTTTCCCAGCCTCCATCAAAGTCCATTAATTATCTCCTTAATTATGAATTAAAGTAGTAAAACTAGGATGAATCGTCAAAGCCTGTTTTGTCAAAGCTAGGGCCTGAAAACAAAAGTTAGGCTACGGAAATCTTGGTCCAGTCTATCTTCAAATGAACACAATTATTTTTCATTAATGTTAAACTTACATCTGACACAATTGTATTAGTTAAAATTAGAAGCTGTTGAGTTTATCTTTAAATCAGATTTGTTGACTTAGGTCTGAAGGCATTTGTTATAAAAAGTGCAGGGAAAATGTGCAAAACCATTTGCAAACCCAATAGATTCCATTTAAATAATTAAAAATTAATTAATCACCACCTTAACAAAATATGGTTGGTGTAAATGTGATCAGGAAAGTGAAGGGTACAGCCACCCTCATCTTCGTAGTTCCTACAACCCACACCAGTCCAACTTCTGGAGTGTGGTTAATTTTTTTGGCTAAATGAATTCCCGGGATGTCCATTTATTTCCTGGTTCCTGCTGCAGTACATAATTCTGTCCTCCAGTCTTTACAGAAGTTCATGCTTTGAAACTTTGCCTTAATGTAAAAATACACTGTAACTTCCAGCTGTTTCAATAAGAAAAATAGCCAATTTTGTCACATAGCTACATAATAATTGTATTACCCTGCACCTGCAGCCCTGTCACGCATTTATCTGCGGCATTTTTGCAGAAAGAGTCCAGTACTTCTAATATAACTCCAATATTAGGTGGTTAATTTCTGGCCGCGGGTCGGTGATGTGATGAATGAATCATCATGTCTGTTTAATTGAACCGTACAGTGAGTCTGGGAGACCAAACCACTTGTGCAGAGATCATTTCTCTCTAATACTGAGGTAAGAGCTGGAGGCAGTGGTGGAGAAACCAGAATGTTCATTAGTAGTGCAGCTTTTTTTTCTTTTTTTTTT